TTTTTTTTTTTTTTTTGAACTCAGTATATAGTGTACATTTTATTCGAGTTGATTTCTCTGACTTTTGCAGACAAATTTCTGTCTTAAAAAGATCCTAACATCGATAATTTTATTTGATAAGTTGGCGGGTTTTTAGCCACTTCCGCGTCCACCTATGGATGTTAAAGACTGTTGTATACTCCTTTTTGACCACTCTTAACCGTCTCCCCATCCTAAGCCTCTCTTAAAACGTCTATTTTCCTATATTCACCCATTAGTTGGCATCTGGGGGTTATCTGAATGCCAACAACCGATTGACGGTATCTTCAAGGAAAGCTGTATACCAATTTGGCTTTTATACAGCTGTGAAAAATGCATTTTTTTGTTACGCTAATATTTTTATGCTTTAATAAAATGATAGGAAGATCGTTACTCTAAGCGAATCACTTTAAACACTTGTAACTGTTCAACATATAGGAACATTTGACAACGGGGCAAATCCATACAAAAATGGAACAATAAAGCGTGGAAAAAAATCTAGAAGCAACCAAAACGATTATGAATAGGTGCAGATTGGATCGAAGCTAACAAAAGGGGTACAGAAAAAAAAAACAGAATTTTTGTTGGTTAAAAACGACTGTTCCATGTATTATAACGGTTTTAGAAAAGCGAACAACTTAACCTTCTGGTTATAGAATAATTCAATAGCAACAATGACACTTTTTTTTCCACCCCGATTAGCAAATAAATTACAATGGTAAAACAAACTAATAATTTTTGTTTTTGTTGCTTATCAGTTAGTAGCGTTACGATAAAGTTGTTACTGCAATCAAATAAAAATATACTTTTTAAAGATAGAAATTTAAATGAAAAAAAAAAAAAAAAATAGAACAGAACAGAACAGAAGAGAACAGAACAGAACAGAACAGAACAGAACAGAATAAAACGAATGAACAAATTGAACAGATAAAACTGTAAACTGGCTGGACAACTGTAGATTCTGAATATAGCTGATCAACACCTTCAACAACAGCTTCGGCAACAGCAACAGCAACAGCAATAGCAACAAAACAACAAGAACTACAACGAAAGAGGAAAAGAAAAATTATTTGTATTTGCCATAAACGTTGTAATAAAATATGTATCCCTGTTAGAAAAAAAAACAGAAAAAAATGTAAAAAAAATACTTTTTAAATGTATAAATATGTAAATTAAT